GGCCTCTGCTGCAAATGCAAGCAAAGTAAGAGGTTAGGCTTTTCAGCATCATGCCTCCCTCCAGCGTGCAAGCCACAAGTCACATCCTTTCACCCTGGTATCCCAGGCCCTGGCACCCGGGGCAGCACACTTCCGTGGGAACAGGTCTGTGGGCAAAGCAGAGGCACCTTGGTCTGCAGTTACAGCCAGCTACCACCAGGTGGGTTCTGGAGCCTGGGATGGGGATCCTGAGATCTGTTAGCTGAGACCTCACAGGACAGAATGACCTATGGAGAACAATTTAGATTTCTGTTCAAGGGCCTCACTGACTCCTCTGAGTATCTGACTCTGGAAGCCCCTGCTTCAGGAAGCCAGAGTTATTTCCTGGGAGTCTCGACATGTGGGCAGGGCAAGCCATCTGCCACTTCACCCCTTGGCATCCCTCGGGGGACTCAGGACAGATAGACTTTGGTCGAGGGAACAAGAGGCCTGGGTGGGGGCTGCATGGGAGGGGGGAATGCAGGGGCCACCGGAGGCAATGGGAGCCTAATGGTGGAGTGTCAAAGGAGAAGCGAGGTTCCAGTGGGAGGAGAACCAAGGGTGACTTCCCCCACTGGCCTGAGGGAGTGAACCCCAGATGGGGCCTGCAAGTGAACTCATGAGGTGTCCAACTCCTGCCTGTGCCCCAATTTCCACGGTGCAGGACAAATCCCTCAAAGTATGGGGGTCTTTGGGAGTACACCCTTGAAGTTCCAAATGGGGCTCGTCTGTGTGTCCAAGTGTGAATTCCCAAGTGTCTGCAGGTGTGCATGTGTGCACATGTGTGTGGGATGAAGATGCAGAGTTGTACCTGTGGGATGCCAGGAAGCCACACACGCAGCGGGTTGGAAGATGACATCCTCCTAGCTGGTGTATGCTGGAGCACAGGTGTGAACCCACACTCCCCTGCACGCACCTCTTTCCTGGAGAGGAGAGGGGAGCCTGGCCCTATAGGAACCATGAAACCCTCTGGCTTTAACTAGAGGCCTTCCTGTTCCTGGTCTTCTTCAAGAGGGTCTGGAAATGGGTGCCCAGAACATTTGGAGGGTCTAGGCATTGGGAGGGCACTTGGTGGCCATCTTGGCCCATTCCTGCTGGCTGCTTGAACATCCTCAGCTTGACCATTAAAATGAAAAAAAAAAAAAAAAGTAAATATCTGGGAGAAGTTACAAAGTAAGGCACTGATGTTTGAGCCAGCTGGAAACCACGAGAATCTGCCCAGCCCCTTTCAAGATTTCCAATTGCTTTGCACTGTGACCCATCTCACTGGGATCTGACACCCCAGTTGTGACAAAGAAAATTTTCCTGTACACACCAGCAAGCGGAACAACTCTTACCCGCCCCTTTCCAGCTTCTAGACACTTTCTATATTTCCTTCATACAGATAAAAGTGTCCACCCATTCAGATGCTAAATGATAAATGTTCCAAGTAATTTTTATTTTAGAATACAAGAGAGGTACAAATGTATTTACAGTTGTACATATACAATCAAATAATAATATATCACAGTTTTGTAAATATCATTTTAGATAAATATTTACAAGGTTAAAGTGACCATTTTCTGGAAGTAGAACACAGTGTCTTGAAAACTCTATACATTTTATACTTTTCATTAATATTATAGTTTCTTTATTTTACAAAACGCCCCACGGGAATCCTGGTAAATGACTGCAAAGTGTGAGAGGCGACACCAGAGGGCGCGCACGGCCAGAGTTTGAGGAAACGGGCAGGGACCGAGGGAAGTGTGGGCAGACGGGGCGGAACTCCCGGGACTGGGCACAGTTCGGAAGTGCCTCCTGGCCACAGAAGCCACCTTAACCTCCCGGACAGCAGTTCCAGTCTTGCCCTCCTCTCGCCGGGGTGTGTGTGTTGGAAGGGGTTGGGGGGAACTTTCGCCTTCCAAGGCATGATGTCACAGCTGAAGGGGAGGGGGCATTGGTCCAACTCCCGCATTTTACAGATGGGGAAACTGAGGCCCAGAGAGGTGCAGGGTCTTGCTTGGGGTCCTACAGAGGATTTCCGTTGTGCCTCCACTTTCAACGTGCCTGGTGCACTGCAAAGAGCTCCTTCCTCATCCATCCCCAGGAGCCAGGTTTGGGGGTAAGGGCCCAGAAGATGCAGGTCTCTCCGGGTCTCTTCCGGCTGCCGATGGACCCCAGTAGCCCGCACCTGTCAAGGTTGCGTAAAGACTCCCGACACTTCAGGACACCAGTCCCAGGGGCCGGAAGAGGAGGTGGCGCCCCCACAAGCCCCGCGCCCGGCCGCACCCGGACCAGGAGGTCGCCCTCCCTTCATTCCGAAGCACAGGACTCTCGGTGGCGGAGGTGGGGACTCCCCTTCCTCTGCTGAGGGGTCCTCGGGGCGCTAAATTTCGCTTTCTTGGCACCCACGAGGGGGATGCCGGTCTGGGCGCCCGGTTCTACAACAGGAGGGAGATTCGGGGGCGAGGCCAGGCAGGGGGACCCCCTCCCAGAGAAGGCGGCCGAGTAGCCGCACCATCTGCGTGGCCTGGGTGAGGGACGCCGCCCTCAGTGTCCTCATCTGCGACAGGAGCCGAGGCGGGGGTGCCTGGGGTCCGTCTCTGGGGCGCACCCCCAGCGCGCGGGG